TTTGCTCTCCGTCCATTGCTCGGTTTAGTATAGGCGTGTGTACATTCATCTGATGGATATCAATCAACTATAGTTCCATTTGTCGGCACTAGGCGGAGTTATTCAAATCAAGCTAACAGTCCATACACTTCATTTCATGCAATTTACCCCCAAATTCCGGTAGGCTTCCTTGTTCAAGCAATCGTGTCTTAAACCTCTCTATATTAATACCTGCTTTGGCCTTCGCTGCCAAGCACCTGTTGACACGGCTGTGCCATTGGTCTGGTGATAATCGTGTGAGCTTCCATGTCCCGTTCTCTAGTACGAGCAGATACTCTAAATCTAGAGCTTGCTGCCACTATTTACTCTATGAGCCTGTTGGCGCGTCCCTTAGACTTATGGGAATTTATATTCGATTGACTATGCTATCCACTTCAATTATCCTGACAATGTGCGTTTGGAAGGATCTGTAATCTCTAAACCACAACGGACTTTTCCTGCTCCGCTGTGGTCGAACTTCCGTCGTACCATCCGCTCATGTTGTCGTTCTGGATTTGCTCTTAACTCCAACTGTATAGGCAATCTTTTTGTGTGCGCTTGGCTCCCAATATCTCCGGCAGTAAATTGTTTAACCATGTTACTCCCAATTGATCTAGAAAAGAGTGCTCTCTATTATCCACGTGAGTGGAGTTTTCACTTCGGTCGGTTAACTGCATTTAGCAAATCCATCTCAACTTTCTCAACAGAGGTCAACCTTTCGGGCTCTTTTCGGAATGACCTTGTGTTGATATTTGCACAATTTCTGTGCCAAACGTGATCGTTCTGGCTACGTTGCGCTTGTTGTTGTACACGTCTATTAGGCGGTATCCTTTGTAACCTCAGAAATCCCAAGAAATCGACTCTTTACCGCTCTAGCAGACACCGTTTTGCCCTTTCAGACAGCCTCTGGTAGGTATGCAAAACACACACAGTCCCAGACCTACGTGGGCTTTACATCAGGAATAATTTTTTATAGCTCATACGGTGTCTTATTCTTTAGGCGGTTCATAGGGGTGCAATTTTGCACATTTGTCAGGTGCTTTAGTGCCCCTGACCACCACTTAGCAGGCGAGCTTGTATTTCTGAATGCGCACCACACTTTAGTAATTTCCGTCTGATGATCCCTCTCACCTGCTCTGTTTCCCTCTGGAGTGTATAGATTCGACGTCTGAAAAGTCACCCACACCCTTTCAATGCAAACTCTTTTGGGGCTGTATTTACATATACAGTGCCACCATCTGACCGAATCCACCGAATGGTGAACTTTCCTTCACGCTGTAATTGTAGTAACATTTCCTTTAACCTTTATTACACCTCTTTTTTGCAGAGGAGAGAAGTTAAACGCCATGGTGCCTGATCATCCGTGACGCAAAGAAAGTATCTTATTAGTCCCACCGTACCATATTGCAAGTGTCCTCATTTGGTCTATTTGTACCCTTCTGTATTGTGCTTGTTGTCCGGCCGTCTCGGGCTCCGACCATATTGTTATAACCCATTCAGCGCATCTTCATCTCTGTGGACGTCTGGTAGAAGAATGGGGATTTGATCAGTACTGCCCTACTAAATTGAGCAATCATGGGATCAGATTCCTGATCTCAACGAGTTTATCTCTGTTCAACAACTCAATTAATTATGTCACTCTTTTTTAACGTTGTTTCCACTCTTGTGTACTTGGGACATGCAACCCCTTCGATGGCTTTGCCTCTCTTGCCGAGTTGTATAATTGGTTGTCTCTAAGACTGCGATCCTGTATATATAGATATCATTCACTACAATGGCCACACCAGTTTATGCCGCCGTAC